GAAAGAAAGAAAGAAAGAAAGAAAGAAAGAAAGAAAGAAAGAAAGAAAGAAAGAAAGAAAGAAAGAAAGAAAGAAAGAAAGAAAGAAAGAAAGAAAGAAAAAAGGAAAAGAGAAGTATTCACAGTATATAAAATGCCCAATGGCTTCCAGAATGAAAATTTTAAAGGAACCATAAAACTCTCAACTTCCACACAGCCAAAGATTCTGATAGTGTGTGTAAATTAGTTTAGATTGGCATGGGACTGGCACCCCTTTTTATTTTTGGCTTACTTAAAGCATGACCCACGGCCCTTATTTCTATTTTTCCTTTTCTTCACCTTAGCTCTTCTCTCGAAACTCTTGTCTTTTTCTCTGACTTCCCCAATGATTTCTGCTCTTCCGTTTTCTCTTTTCTTTTTCCTCTCTTCTGTTATTCTCCCTCAATATCAATTCAAATTAAATTTCTCTTTGATGCTCATATAATCAATAAAAAGGATCTAAAGATCATTCATTACTCAAGTGGGGTTATCATCATTTATTGATGGAGTTTCTAAAGCTCTTTTTGGTAAGAGTGATTTTTTCTGTCCCCTTTGAGGTGGGGCTGAGGTAAGGTGAGCAGTGTTAGGGGAGAAGTCCCTAAAGGGAAAAGAGGAAAACAAAGGAGGTCAAGAGTCCTTGTTCTAGAGGAGATGATATTCAAATAGGAAAAAGAAAGTCTACATCTGCATAAAAACAAACAATTCTACTTGTGAAAATCTATGGAAAAATCAGTGGAGAGGGAATTCAGAGTTAAGGAAAGATCCACACGGGGCTACCCCTTCAGAGGAGGATTTACAGGGAGATCAGACAGCAGTTGGGCTCTAATTTTTTTTTTTTTTTTTTTTATGCCTACAGCATCTGGTCTTCCTAGGTGGTCTCCCATCCAAGTACTAACCAGGCCCAACCTTGCTTAGCTTCCGAGGTGTCGGAGCCAGCCGACGAAGTAATTGAGGGTACCTGAAAGGGGGAGCATGGACTGAGGAAAAGAAAGAAGACAGACAGAATTGCAGGAGGGATCACAGAATCAAGCTGTGTCTGTGTCTCCGAGTTTATTTAGAACACACTATTTATAACATTACAATAAGAAAGACAGTAGTCAAGAACCAAGGTTAGCCAGATTACTATATCTAGTAGAACAATGAGGTTCTCACAACTCAGAACTCTCTGCTAAACTGTTGCAAGGAATGTGCAGTGACTGCTATGTGAACAGTTACCTCCCAGTTTTTCCCAGCGCTTTACAATCTCAACTTCTTACATTGTTGCCAAGTACACAAATATCCTTGTTCCTTGTTATACGATTTCACATGTCCATAAATGACTCCCCACACGAGGTCAGATGGGATTGGGCTTGTTCAGGGTGGCATGGCCGTAGACTGGGCCTAGGGTTCTAGTTGGCAGCCATGGATAGAACATGACTGAGGTACTAAGGCAGAATTGGAAAGACCCCAGGAAATCAGTTGGTCTCAATGGAGAGAATGATTAGAATGATTCAGATGTGGGTCCCCTCTCTCTCCTTTGTCTTGTGATCAACCAAGATCTTTCCAGGTCCCATAAAGCTTCCAAAACACCTTCCTAGGCTTCCACCCTCACACCCCTTCTTAAATGGAGGACTATGATCTGTCCTTCACCTCTTACAAAGGAAGACAGTGGAAAGAGAAAGAGTGGGTGCAACTTGAAGGAACCATCATGAATTTTGAAGAAGGAACCATCATGAATTTTGAAGAAGGAAGAGGACTACCACTTCAGTCTCACCCAAATCACCCTCCTTCCTTTCCAACCAAGGAACCTAGCTCCACTCCAGCTGCAGCCAGCAGCCAGCGGATTGACTCCATCCTGCCCCTGCCACGAAAGTAGTAAAGCTTGGGTTTGGCTACCATGACTTCTGGCTCAGGGTTTTCTGAAGAGCAAAATAAAAAAAATATGTTTAAAGAATAAACTAACACACACTATGTGGTATGTCTCTGTTCATAACAATTCTAAAACAGACAAAATGAAACTATTTCTTAGGGACGCATACACAGGAGGCAAAACTATGAAGAAAAGCAAGGAAATAATTATCACAGGAGCAAGATGATCATTACCTCTAGTGAGGAGGATGGAGATTGTGATTGGGGGGTGAGTGGGGGATTCTGGAGTGCTAATAATGTTCTATTTCTTAAACAGAATCGGTAATTAACCTTTATAATTAATTTTTAAATTGCGAATGTTTTTGCACTCTCATATGTATGTTCTATCTCACAATTTAAGAAAAAGGTAAGAAGGAGCAATACATATCAAGGTGTCAAGGTATTCTGTAGATTTGAGAGACTGCTTCTGGTATTTTGAGGAAGGAACCAGGAGTTAATATGATATCTTCATGAATGATCTTTGCAAAAGAAAATCTTTTCTAACAGTAGCAAGGAGCTGGGCCTCTTTGGACTGAAATGTTCGGTGGGAACTGGGGACTCTTTCATTTCTGTCACAGGACTTTCCTGAGTACTAGGACAAGCTCAGATGAAGACATAGACAAGACCAGGATTCTGGTCCTACCTGGCCACCAGGGAGCTGGGTAAGCTTAGGCCCAATTCACTAAACCTGTCTGCCTTCATGTACTTATCTACAATTGGGAAGAATTACACCTAGGTGACCTGCCTCCTTTTAAAGGAGAATATAGTGATAATGCAAGCACATCTGATAGCACTTTCTACCTCATTGTTGCAAGAGCCACAGTGACTATTATGTTAGTGACTCTGCTGGCACATCAGGAAGCATCACGGCGAAAAACGGGATGGGGAAGCTGACCTCAGCTTCCAAAGGCAGCACTTACAGTCGTCTTCACTATTGTATGTTATTCCATCTCTCTCAGCCTCAGTCTCCTAATCCTTAAAATGAGGGTGGTGGTTGTATTACCCAACTCAGAGGGTCATGTGAGGACTGAGGATTGAATAAAGTAATAGGTAAAATGCATACCACAATCTCTGAGCCATATCAAGCAGAGTCCTCCACACTTCTTTAAATGAATTACAAGTGGATTTTGTGTTTCTTAGAGTTTCTGAAGCTAAGATGAGCTTGTCTAATAGCTTTATATGGGATTTATAAGTGTTTGTTGCAAATGCAATTGATATTTGAAAAGAAAGCTAAAATATTTGTCAGTTTGACTCCATGTTGCAATCCAAGATATTGAAAAAGTAAAATCTGGCGTGACTTTCACCTTCACTTTGTAGTTATGAGCATAACGAGCATTTTTGTGGTTCGTGGCTGTACGAAAGTGTATTTTGGAATCTTACGTAATTGGCTTTGTGCCCACTGTTTTCCCCATTCTCAAGGCATGTGGGAGACTGAAGAATGAAACTTTGGAATCCAGAGCTGGATTACAAGGGATAAGATCACTCCTCTCTCCGCCATCACCTCCAAGCCTTCCCTGGAGCCTGAGAGAGCCCTAAAAGCCACATATTAGAACAAAGGAGACCCCACCTCAGATAATAGGCCTGTATCTGGCAACCCTCCCTTTCTAGATCAAGAGAAGGAAACTTTTTCCTCTGGTTGTTAATAACCAGCAACCACTTGGAAAAATCCCAACAAATGTTTGTGTGCACCATAAATAGCTGGCTCTGGCCAACCAGACATTCCTCATCTCTCAGACTCAGCTGGCTCTGTGGCCTTTAAATTAGGTTCTCAGATGGATGATGGAGAACTGAACTGGAGGTTGTTAAACAAGGCTCAGCAGTCCCCACCCCAACCCCTCCTCCAAGGGCTGAGCACAGAGAAGGGGCCCTATACCTCTTACAAGCTGATAGCCCAAGAACCAGCTGCTCTCCCTGGATTCTTCACTGCAAAACACCAACAAAGAGGGAAACTTCTGGAAGGCAGGGGTTGTGGCATAGTTCTTCCATCTCCTATAGAACCAACCTGGTGTTATCCCAGACACGTGGCAGCTATTACCTCAGTGTGCCACTTTGAGGTATGTACCAGTTTCTTAACTTATTAAATTTCTGTGTTTGATCTTTCATTCTTTCTTTCAATATCAAACATTTATTGAGTTCCTACTATGGATATAGTATTAGATTAGGCACTCCAGGCATACAAAGAAAACTAAGATGTGGTTCCTGCCATCAAAAACCTCACAAACCTTATATCTAGTGATGGAAACATCCAGACTACTAAGAGGTGAGTCAGAATGAAATAAGTGTTTAATGAAAGTACAATACGGTCTTACGGGAATTGAACAGAGCCTTACGGATGGGTACATATAAATATGTTTGTTTTTCCGAGCCCCACTCCTCCATGCTCCATGGAATTATAGTTAAGGACATAAACTAAGTCCTTTAGTTTTTTTTCCTTGACTTCTAATAAATTTCCACAAAGATTAGGATAAACTTCTGCTTGGTAATACAGAAGACCAAGTTTATTTATGCTTCAGATGGTAAATTCAATTATTCTCATTGTTTTTTTTTTTTTTTTTGTTTGTTTGTTTGTTTGTTTTTAAGTAAATTGTCAAAGCTGAAAAGCAA